TGTCCGCCACACTATCTCCGTATACATCTCACAGTCAGCAAAGAACTACATCAATCTCGCACAGATTCACGCCTCAGAGAATTCAAAGTCATTTGATCAGATTGAGGTTGAGAGAGCGCTCAGGAAGAAGTATGCACGCAAGGACGAGGATTACGATTCAATGCTTGGAATTACCCGTGAAACCCCACCCGAGTTGATTCTTCCCGACAATGTCTTACCAGGTGGTAAACCCGTCGCCAAGGTTCCGAGTACTCAGTACTTCTAATTCCAGTATCAGGTTGTTTTTATGTGTTGAAATCATTTCAAGACAGGATTGATTCTCTGGAAGGTCAAGAGAGATATTATTTTGGTTTTCACTTTTCTTCCGAGCAAGCAGGAGATTTATCATCCTTGCTCAATAATGTACCGTTGCATTATGAAGTCATTTCTTCGAGGCACAATTGCAGAAAGAGAAACATAGTTGCATTAATCTTTCATTCTTTCTCTGTCGCTGTTTCTCCAATCATTCGAAATGGTATTTGTTTGATACATTCTTTAGGTTGGCGATTATTATGTGATAAATTTGACTTAAATAGGACTAAATATAAGCTAGTGTCACTCAATAACTTCTTGTCCCAAGCTGTTAAAATAAAAAAAAGCTGAGTAAAACCCACAATACTTGGAACAGACCAAAGAGCTAAACACAAGCAAGTTAATTTGAAAACCCAACTTTTAACGTATTCTCACTTGCTCAAATTTCCATTGGCGCAACATCTTGATCACCTGAACCACCTTGTTCCCCAGTTCCAGCAGCACCAGTAGCAGCCTCGGGTTCGGCCTCACCCTCACCAGCATCCTCCTCTTCCTCGGGAACCTTCTCAAACGTATCAATCACCTTTTGTATGCTTTCCTGGTCCAAGAAATGGAACGGTTCATCGACTCCTAGAACAGAAACAGTGCAGAGTGAGCTCTTCAGTGTTTCCCCTTGCAATGTTTCCCTTATGGCCATAATAGCATCTTTGATCAGATCTTCTCTCGATGATTCTTGGAAGCTCTCAAATCTGCGTTCCAGATAGGTTTTCGCAGCTTGTGAACGAGACCCGATAGCAAATGCTTGATATTCAAAGTAGTTTCCGCTCGGGCAGTTGTAGTAGAGGTGGGCTCCTGACTCGTCCAATCCACCTACCAGCAAACCAACACCATAAGGCCGTTTCCATGACCGTTGGGTACATACCTGCGCAAGGAGAAATATGAAAAGGATAAATACAAGACGAAGAAATGAATTCACCAATGAATGAAAATCAGAGTGTTGTTCAAACTACAAGACTGATATCATTACGAGGGTTCTTCCCAGAATAGAAAATGTCGATACAGCAGCTAACATAATGTTTGAAAGACATGACAATAAGTGGGATGTAGCAAGCAAAACCTTTAAAAGTTGTGAATACAACATCTAACATAGAACACTACGTTTAACACCAAAAGTAGTGAACATGTAACACAAAGTTCTACGGCAACTGTGAAACTACATCTTACTGAATAAATTATTCATTAGGCAAGTAAAGAAAGCGACGAGGACACACTTACAAGTAAGTAAACAAATGCAAAGTAATACAAGTCAAAACCACAAAACCAAAAAGAGATCACAAAGACATATATCCATTTCTAGAATGCAACTAAAACAACTCTCTTTATCAAGCAAAGAGAACAGACAGATGACAACACAGAAGCAACTAAAGAACCAAAATCAAAACATTATTATACAGTTCTATCACCAAAGTGGATACTTTTTAGGCATTCTCTGGTTATAGGTTAACTATTTCTAATCGGATTGAGCAACTAGCAAGAGAACTGGAAATGATTAACAACACAAGAAGCTCTAATTCCCAATCACAAAAACTTGGTTCTCAAACCAATATCACTACTTGCATAAACACATACACATTTTACTGACAAAATTGGTCACATTGCTGGCCACATTGCTAATAAAAACACAAACTTTACTCCAATTTCATAAAGCTTCAAACTTTCAGCTACTTCACACATCTTAAAGTTTAAGCCTTTAAGTGAATTCTAGGTCAAAATTCCAAAGCCAACCCAAATATCTCAATTTACCTGAGCTTTATCAGCAAGATGAACAACAAGACGACCAACAGGAAGAGGAGACTCATAAGTAAAAGAGTGATTAATAGACTCAGATCTCATATAACGAGACAGAACACGACCATCAGCAGTTAGACCCGCAATAGCAACACCAATATGATCATCGACTTTAAAGATCTTCCTTTGATGAGAAGAGAGCTCTGATTGTGCTTTGTTGACACAAGCGAGGACGACATGTGAGCGAGATCTAAGTCCGATTGCGGCTGAGCCTTGCTTCACAGCTTCCATGGCGTATTCGACTTGGAATAGTCGACCTGTTGGTGACCATGTAGTCACATCTGTGTCGTACTGGTTCCTGAACATCTTCTTGGCTTCGTCTTCTTCGTCAAAAGCTTTTCGTTTGCTTCAAGCTAGAGAGGATGGTCTCTCTTTGAGCTTAGAAGTAAAGTTAAATGGGCTTTATGAAACTTAATGGACTTATGGGTTTTAAGTTTTTAATATCCATCACCTTATATTATTATTTACACATTTTTCATTGAATATTTTAGTTTATAATACTTTCAATGAAAAATGTATAAATAATAATTTTTTGTTCATTATAAGTGATGATAATAAAAAGTAGTTGTAGTATATTACTAGATTTGAACCCGCAGTACACCGCGAGGCTATAATGTTTTTAAAAAAATCTAAATATAATTATTTTTGTTTATTAATAGAGAGTATAATATAATATTTCGACCTATTTTATAAATGTACCATCCATATATCTATATTAATAGTTTTGAGTATATATATTGTGTTTTAGGTTTAAATAGTATATCTATATATACACTTAAACGACATTTGGCTTTCTCCTTCTTCTTGCCTCAGTTTAGGAGAAATATTTTTCTTGCGGTACACCGCGGAACTATTATTTTTTAAAAAAGATTTTTCTTCCTTAAACTTCCAAATCTAGATTTTACCTTATTTTGCAAAATTTTAAGTTGTATTTGTTTTGTTAATATTGTTTATTTTGTTTAGTGTTTCTGATTTTATAATTCAATTTTTATTTTTAATTTTAGGATTTCGTCCATAGTATATTGTTTAATATTAATATTGATCTAAACCCGTTGCACCATATAACCCCGTCCCGTAAAATTAAACATTATTTGTTATTTTTTTGACTAATATTTTTATCCACTACGGGTCGCAGATTCATGCGGATAAGCCCGTAGAGAGTTGCGGGTTTGCGGGTCGACCCGCCAAAAGAGAAGCTATCTTTTGAAACCCTTTGTTTTGTTTAAAAGTTTTAAGAAAATATCCCTAAAAAATAATTTTAATTATATGAAAAAAAAGAAGTAGAAGAAATTGTAGTATCAACATTCCCGATTTTTACATCACTCGTTACAATTAATTTTTTTTTTAGCAGATAAAAATCAGAAGTTAACTAAGTCGAGATTTTTAAAAAGATTGTGTAGAGATTTTTGGTAAATTGTTGAGAACATATTTGATTCCAAAATCTTTACTTAAATAGATAAGGAAATATTTTGTAGAGACTTTTGCTAAATATATGAGAAATTAATTTCAATTAAAAATCTTTACTTAAATAAAACAAATCTAAATAATTAATGCTAATGGCATGTCATTGTAAATACTTCTCAACTTCAGGATTTATTTGCTAATTGTGATCCAAAAATGTATATATAGATTTCTAAGTTTAGAGAAAACTAACACTAGTACCACAATTCTCCAAATTATTTTCGTTTCTACCACTTTCTCTTTCTATTTTTCATTTATACCACATTAGGTATGTGTTAAGACTAAATTGTTTTTTCTTTTGTGTGCTCAAATTTTGGAAACAACTATATATAAAATTTGGGAACAACTGTATGTAAAATTCAGGGACAACTGGTAAATAACCGAATCCACAATTTCATCTTATTTTTGTATGTTAACTGGTTTTTGTCCCTCGATTTTAATTCATTGTCCTTTGGTTCTCCCAAATTCTAATTGCAGTTTTTCTATTGATGTTTATATTTCGTTTGATTATTGTTCTCGAATAGGTTTATTAAAATCATTCACCGATTTTTGAATTCGTCCATTCAATTTTGGTCTCAGATACTTGTCCCTAAATGTTGCACTTTAACTGATACGATCTGTCACATCAGCTGAGAGCAAAACCGTCTTTTTATACCACAATATCATATGAATGTGGTAGGAATGGAAAGAGATAATCAAATATGGTAGAAATGAAAATGTTTTGGTTGAAACTTGAAAGTGGTAGAGTTAACCAAATTTTCCTAAGTTTATAGCAATTAATTAATTAATAATTTAATATTTGTAGTTTCAATTGGTTTGGAATAAAATTTATTTAGAGGTAAGAGATTGATGTATAGATATCTAAAAGAAGTCACATGTTTTTAGATTGCTAATTTGAAATTTTTTGATAAAAATGTTGTGTTATTTGTTTGGAAACAAAGAGTATGTATATTATGGTTAAAAGAAGGTGATAAAATTACCAATTATTTTTCATGTTTATACTAAACAAGACAACAAAAAAAAGATAATGGTTTTTTTCTTTATTATATATTATGAAGGGAATGAGAAAATAGTCACTAAATTATTTTCATGATTCATTCAATTCAACAAAGTTTTCTGTAACTTTAACTGAATGTAAACCAATTATTTCTAATGAGATGAACTAATTTCTAGTAAAGGATATTCCGAATGAGGAGATTAAAATTGCATAATTTGCATTGCATCCGCATATATTTCTTGGAAAACGACATTATTTTATCAATGGTTTTAGCATATTAAACAACTTATTTAAAACAACTTGTTTAGAAATAATAAAACAACTTATTTAGTTTTGGGATGTTTAATTTCACACATTGTGATTTGTGATCTATAAAAGAGAGGAAGAGGTAGATCAAGCAATGGATCTAAAATTTCTACGATGTCTAGCAATATTCAATTTAAAATTCGTCTCTCATTTTTTATCTCCTCTATTCTCACTTTATTCATAGCTTTCTTCAATTTACTTCAAGAAAAAGCAAGCTTTATTTCATATGAATTAAAATCGTGACATTGTGACAACACTAGTACAAAACCCACTAAAACTAGGTATGTCATAGTCCTAAAACATCCACCTAATTAATCTGTTAATACACATTTCAAAGCAAATTAATAACATAGAGTTATCTTCTTTTTTAGGCATTAATATAAAGTTGAATTTGGCACAAAAAGATACGAAAAAGAAACGCATTAATATTTTTTTTAAAAGTATCTGACATAACCCCAAAATAAGAAGAATGCAACTTCTTTTTATCCCTCCAAATTCATTCTCAGGTACGTCGACGCCACCACCACCGACAGAATATTCCGATTTAACTCTAACCGAATATTCCCTCTCCCTCAATGGAAAACGACGTCAAGGAGAAGCTTGAAGAAGAAGAAGAAGAAGCTAACCGTCTTCTTCCTCCTCCTCATCCTCAATCTCTCCCTTCCTCCGATTCCGAATCCGAAGCCGCTTTCGAATCAAACGAAAAGATCCTAATCGTCGATTTCGAATCTCCGGACGATCCAACAACCGGAGACTCACCACCGCCATTCTCGTGGCGGAAACTATGGTTATTCACCGGTCCAGGTTTCTTAATGAGTATAGCGTTTTTGGATCCAGGGAATTTAGAAGGAGATCTACAAGCTGGTGCAATCGCTGGCTATTCTCTGTTATGGCTATTGATGTGGGCAACAGCTATGGGATTGTTGATTCAGATGTTATCAGCTAGAGTTGGTGTTGCTACTGGTCGTCATTTAGCTGAGCTTTGTCGTGATGAGTATCCTACTTGGGCTAGGTATGTGCTTTGGTCTATGGCGGAACTTGCTTTGATTGGTGCTGATATTCAAGAGGTTATTGGTAGTGCTATTGCTATTCAGATTCTTAGCCGTGGTGTCTTGCCTCTTTGGGCTGGTGTTGTTATTACGGCTTCCGATTGGTGAGTCTTTCGATATTCGAATCGCTCTTTAGAGATGTTGGATTTATAGAATGAGTAGAGACTTGGTTTATAGATCTATGATTCAATCTGAAATTGTAAAATTTGCTAAGATGATCTGAATTCGAACGAATTCGGATCATATTCAAACTCACAAATCAGTAGGTACTTGGTTTAGAGATCCATGATTCAATCTGAAATTGAGAAATTAGCTTTTCCTTTTGGCTCTTTTTCTTGAAAAACTTGGCTAAGATGATCCGAATTCGAAAGATTTTGGATCATCTTAGAGATATTGAGATTCAAATTCACAAAATCAGTAGAAAATTGGTTTAAAGATCTATGATTTAAGCTGAAATTAAGAAACTTGGTTCTTTTTTTTTTTGGCTTGAAAACTTGGCTAATGAATCTGTTGCAAACAGTTTTTTATTTTTGTTTCTAGAGAATTACGGTGTGAGGAAGTTAGAAGCTGTTTTTGCAGTTTTGATCGCAACTATGGGTTTGTCCTTTGCTTGGATGTTTGGTGAAACCAAGCCGAGTGGGAAAGAACTTATGATAGGTAAAGATTTCAGATTCTTTTTCTTCAATTTCGCTCTCTTTTGCTTTGATTTAAGTTGACTGTTTAAAAATCAAAGCTTTATGTTCACATGGATAGGTATTTTACTACCGAGACTTAGCTCAAAGACAATTAGGCAAGCAGTAGGTGTTGTTGGCTGTGTCATAATGCCTCACAATGTGTTTTTACATTCGGCTCTTGTACAATCGAGGAAAATCGATCCAAAGAGGAAATCCCGGGTTCAAGAGGCTCTTAATTACTATTTGATTGAGTCATCCGTAGCCCTTTTCATCTCCTTCATGATTAACCTGTTTGTGACTACTGTCTTTGCAAAGGGATTTTATGGAACTGAGAAAGCTAATAACATTGGCCTAGTTAATGCGGGTCAGTATCTTCAAGAAAAGTTTGGAGGTGGGCTTCTTCCGATCCTTTATATCTGGGGAATCGGGTTGTTAGCAGCCGGGCAGAGCAGTACAATAACTGGTACATATGCTGGACAGTTTATAATGGGCGGTTTTCTGAACCTCCGGCTTAAGAAATGGATGAGGGCAGTAATAACAAGAAGCTGTGCTATTGTGCCAACCATGATTGTGGCAATCGTGTTCAATACTTCTGAAGCTTCCTTGGATGTTTTGAATGAATGGCTCAATGTCCTTCAGTCTGTACAAATTCCTTTTGCTCTTCTCCCTCTTCTAACTTTGGTATCCAAAGAAGAAATTATGGGAGACTTCAAGATTGGTCCCATTCTCCAGGTTAATTTCATCTTCTTTTACTAAATGCTCTGAGTTTCTCACTTGTTTATGAGATAGGACTCAATAGGTGAATTAGTGTAGTCTATCAATTTATAGGTGCCTCGAGTTTATCCATTTCACAGTTTGTGCTTCAGTTAGTATTCATTTAGAATCGAAAGTCCTGAAATGGAACAGAGAAGCATGATGAGTGTTGAAGCTTTGTGAGTTGATTGGAATTATTTATTAATCTTGCAGAGAATAGCTTGGACTGTGGCTGCACTTGTAATGATCATCAATGGATATCTTCTGTTGGATTTCTTTGTATCAGAAGTCGACGGGTTTATGTTTGGAGTTACGGTCTGCGTCTGGACAACTGCTTATATCGCCTTTATAGTCTACCTCATTTCACACAGCAACTTTTTTCCTTCTCCTTGGTCTTCCTCTTCCATAGAACTTCCCAAAAGAGTGTCCGTCTCCGATAGCTAGCTGCACAAAAATAACTGCCCTCAGGCCTTGTTACATGTCAAGAAGATACGGTAAACAACTTCATCCTCTATAGTCTATATATTGGAAACACCAAAGCGTTGATAAGAGTTATTTAGCATAGCTTTTTTGTGAATGTTAACATCACAAATATGTAGTGGCAAAGTCTTTGTTGTACTTTTTTTTTGTTTTGTTAAGAGGATGTGCACATTCCAATATAATTGAAAGAGGCTTTTACATGATTACGTCATATAATAAAAGCAGAAAACAAATCAATTTAAGCTAATAACCATTGAAATAATGGCCAAGCAAAAGGAGAAGTTTCTTAACTAATGTTAGCAAAAAAAAAACTTCGAATACAAGTTAAAAGAGATTCTCAATACTAATCTGCCATTCTAATAACAGATTGAGATATATACAACCCAAAATTCAGGCAACTAACATTTCCAACACATAAGCTTTGAGCTTCTTTTACGCCATTCCTCTAACGGTAATATCTTCAAAGAAAGCAAGAGGCAGCTCCGGTGAAACAGGCATGGTCGCAACGCACTTGTACTGTACACCAAAAGAATCAGATATTAAACAATCTAGAATGTTGTTGTTGCAACATATTACAAGTTGAAGTTACATCATTGTATTGTTGAATTTACCTTATGTTGCTTGTATTTATTTCTAACAGCTTCTAGAGTGTTTCCTCTTCTGCTTAGATACAAGTCATGTATGATTCCCACACATACTTGTAGATCAGATGCTTTGTACTTTGTGTATTCTTCTAACATTTGATTCTGTTTTACAACACCAGCAGAGATTTAGAATATAAAGAACCTTTTCTGTTAAATAAACAGTCATGGTTCTTAATTTGCTTACCCAAGGATGTTGTTTTGGACGGATGATGAATCGGGCAAGAAAGACAGCAGAAGCAGCCAATAGAGATGGCAAATACTTCACACAGGTGTAATCTAACATACTCAATTCTGATAGATAGCAACAAAGGAACTCTATCTGCAATAGTGAGTCCTGAAAAGAAAGCATGGAAAAAAGAAAGAGATTTAACAATTGACACTATATAAGATGCAAATGTCACAGTTCAAACGTAGATCGGTTTTGAGCTTACATTGAAATCTTCTTGTGCAACCCGTGTAAACCGTCTGCACAAACCCGACATAAAAAGAGCAAAACAATGAAAATGAGGACAAGTGACTATCATAAACACACGATCATAAGTGATTATCAAAAAAATATGATCAAAAGCAAGTATAAGTACAAACACCAGATTGTTTCAGAGTCAAACCTTAGGAATGTTTTGATGGTTGGACTTCCTAGTTCAAACTGCAAAGCAAGAAGTATATCCGCCTCCATCGACACCACTTCTTGTTTTGTAAATGTATTATCCGTGATGTAACAAAAATCTTCCACTTTAGGAGGACCTATCTCTTCATATTTCCTACTTTTTTAAAAGCAAAATAAAGATTCCATTAGCCAACCGTCTAAAAATCTTCACACCAACACAACAATAAACAAAGAGGATCAAGATACTTACGACGCAATAAGCATCGCAGAAACTCCCACAAGCTGAAGCCTCTGCCTGTTAATAGGCTTCACAGACAAGAATCTATCCACATAGGAGACAGTGAGATAAAGCGTATCCGAGACAAGTTTATACTCCTCAGCAACCTCCACTAACCAATCCACCAAAACCGCTCTCATGTGAGGCGTTAAATCACTCTGAACCTTTTCAATATAATCCGGTAATGGTCTATGTTTCGGCTTCCCCTGAAAATTTCACCAATCCAAAAACAATCATCATTAGTCCCTAACTTCTCCCAAACATATAATAAGAGCAAACTATAATTGGAAAAATCTCAAATCCACAAGTTTTATCAAACCCATGATTGCAACTAGTCAATATCAAGATCAAACACAGTCCCAATGCCAAATTACCACAAAAATGGAGGAATCTACTAAAGATGTGTTTTTTACCTCCATTTCACGAAGATAAGAACAAATATCACTAGCAAAAGGCTCACACATCTGAGGATCAACAGATCTCGATTCAATATCTACGCTAGGTTCAGGAACCGCCACAGGAATCATCAAAGCCTTCTTCATCTGCTTCTTCGAGGTATTAACACTTGTTTTAGCCTTAAGGGCCTCTCTTTCTTGATTGGGTTTCACCGGAACAGCTACGACATTGGACATATTCGGAAGCTCTCCGAGCACAACTCTCTTTTTACTAACTGGGTTTTCGTCCACCGCCATAGACGACGCTTTTCGTTTCGCCGCCGCTCTCGTCATCCTCCCGCAGTTCTGATTCTCCGACATGGGTTTTTTCAATGGGAAAGAGAGATTTGAGGAAAGGGGTAATGTAGAAGGAAGGTAAGAGGAAATGGGTAGAGTAAAAGCGCCATTTTTGTTGGGGAAGTTTTTGGTGATTTTGAGATTTTAGGTCATGGCGCTTCTCTGGGTAAATTTCGATTTCGAATTTTTAGGGATTTGAGAGAGTTTCCAAAATTTGGGGCTTTTTTGCAGATTTCATTTCCACATTTATTTGGCGGCTGTTTTCTCTTTTTTACCCTTTTTTTTTTTGTCGGCTCTCTTTTTTACCCTTCAAAAAGTTTCACTCCTATATTTAGACAATCAGCATTGAAATCTTTTAATTAAAGAATAAAGGGAGAGTTACACTATGGGACACTTTCTACCGCTTTGTTTGCAAAAGACATACTTTCTGTGTTTTTATAAGTTTTTCTACTGTTGAACAAAATTTAATACTATTATACCCCTGAACTACATCGATTTTGCTAAGGAATTGAGTTGAGTCTAACTAATAGTCTTGTTATGTTGACCGTTAGATCTTAACAGATATTTGAGATCTAATGGTTAAAAATTCACAGAAATTCTGAAAATTACATGTTACTACGTTGACATACAAATATATATATTTAGCATAATTTTTGTTCTTTTTTTTTCTCCTTCCATGTGACTTTCTCTCTCTTTTTCTTTATCTCATTCTATCTTTATTATCATTTTAATTACTTAATATCATATATTTCGTCTATTTTTTTATACAATAGATTAAGATTTAAGTTTTCATACATTTTAAAATCTATTTTGCTATATTTTAGATGAAAAATTATATTACATATTATCCATTTTTTATTGAACATTTGTTTGTTATTAAATGGATGTCTAGATATACTTGAACAAACATACTACAACAACATTTCTAACTACCGATCATCCAAGCATATCCGCTAAACTTTGACCACATAGATGAATAAGAATAAAATTTCTCGGTGGATTATACATCTGCCAAACTCTGATCAAGTGTTTGTTGTTCATATTTTACTATTATACATGTTTTTTAGTTTATCTGACCATCCAACACTGAACACATGGTTAAAATTAATATACTCAAGCATTTCTATACAAAGCTTGAAGAAAGAGAAGAACATGACAAGTAAAGTATCCATCAAAGATTGTATATATGGATGATGGCAAGTATGTTGACTAACTCGGTGTTATTAACTTTCATAAGTACTACGATGAACTAGTGCTTATGGTAAAATGGACAAGTGTTTATGGCCGAATCCAAATGGATGATCTGAAAGAGTTTAGAGAACCTTAAATCCATTATGGTGTTGCTGGTTGTGATGGTGTCCCAAGCCTGCAACAAGTCTTGATGATTTTCAATTAGCCGACAATACATATGGTCTTCACCAAACACATACAATTACCCAATTTATAATAGACATTGCTTCTCTTGTTTGTCCAAGAATCAAGAACAACCTTTTTAAATAAATTAGAAACTTTTGAGTTTTTACATGTCAAAAAACATAATTATTGTGAACATATTAGATAATGGATATGAACGAAAGAATAGTTAAAAGAAATAATACATAACGCACCCATATGGTAGACATAACGTATCCATATGGAACTGACCAATCTTATCATATGCCCATTTAAAGCTTACCAATCCAATTCAAACGTATGGACACAAGTTTATACATGAAAAATAATCGCCAATTTAAATTTACATCGTTCATTTTTTTTGACCATTTATTCTCTTCTGTATGTCCTATTATTATATATCTGCCAAACTCTGATCGAGTGTTTGTTGTAACAACACCAATCACGTCGTGGTGTGTAAGTAACTTCGTTTAAATGAATAACACTAAACCCTTACATCTACCTTATAAATCCAAACCGATATGCTATTTTAAAAAAATTTATAACACTAAACCCTAACTCCTACCTTATAAACCCAAACTAATATGTAAATTTGTTTAAATTTATAACACTAAACTCTAACTCCCTTCCCTAAAACCATCACCCATCAATACAATAATAACACCTTGTTTCTCTCCAGGATTGACACCTCAGATTTTTCAGATGTTCTCAGCTTGACAAATCAGTAAAAATCAGCACTTCAATATTCCACGTCACCTTGGAGACCCAGAATCCCTAGCCGCTCTAGAAAACAAAAAGCTTTCAACTTGTTTCTCGAATCGGTGGTTTCTCAAATCGAAGATTAAAGATGATGAAGAAGAAGAATTCGATCACATGACATTGATCGAGAACACACTTAGTTCTATATGTAATTTCTCCAACGACATCATCTCTGGCAAGGTTAGTATTCGATCCCATCATGTTTGGTATTTTGATCATTTGGTTGGCTTCAATCAATAACATTTCTGATCTTGGAAAAATAGTTCTTTGGAGGTGTCTCACATTTTGATTCTTTTTTGCTTGCTATCCTGACTCAATTTTGTTTCACGAAGATAAGAACAAATATCACTAGCAAAAGGCTCACACATCTGAGGATCAACAGATCTCGATTCAATATCTACGCTAGGTTCAGGAACCGCCACAGGAATCATCAAAGCCTTCTTCATCTGCTTCTTCGAGGTATTAACACTTGTTTTAGCCTTAAGGGCCTCTCTTTCTTGATTGGGTTTCACCGGAACAGCTACGACATTGGACATATTCGGAAGCTCTCCGAGCACAACTCTCTTTTTACTAACTGGGTTTTCGTCCACCGCCATAGACGACGCTTTTCGTTTCGCCGCCGCTCTCGTCATCCTCCCGCAGTTCTGATTCTCCGACATGGGTTTTTTCAATGGGAAAGAGAGATTTGAGGAAAGGGGTAATGTAGAAGGAAGGTAAGAGGAAATGGGTAGAGTAAAAGCGCCATTTTTGTTGGGGAAGTTTTTGGTGATTTTGAGATTTTAGGTCATGGCGCTTCTCTGGGTAAATTTCGATTTCGAATTTTTAGGGATTTGAGAGAGTTTCCAAAATTTGGGGCTTTTTTGCAGATTTCATTTCCACATTTATTTGGCGGCTGTTTTCTCTTTTTTACCCTTTTTTTTTTTGTCGGCTCTCTTTTTTACCCTTCAAAAAGTTTCACTCCTATATTTAGACAATCAGCATTGAAATCTTTTAATTAAAGAATAAAGGGAGAGTTACACTATGGGACACTTTCTACCGCTTTGTTTGCAAAAGACATACTTTCTGTGTTTTTATAAGTTTTTCTACTGTTGAACAAAATTTAATACTATTATACCCCTGAACTACATCGATTTTGCTAAGGAATTGAGTTGAGTCTAACTAATAGTCTTGTTATGTTGACCGTTAGATCTTAACAGATATTTGAGATCTAATGGTTAAAAATTCACAGAAATTCTGAAAATTACATGTTACTACGTTGACATACAAATATATATATTTAGCATAATTTTTGTTCTTTTTTTTTCTCCTTCCATGTGACTTTCTCTCTCTTTTTCTTTATCTCATTCTATCTTTATTATCATTTTAATTACTTAATATCATATATTTCGTCTATTTTTTTATACAATAGATTAAGATTTAAGTTTTCATACATTTTAAAATCTATTTTGCTATATTTTAGATGAAAAATTATATTACATATTATCCATTTTTTATTGAACATTTGTTTGTTATTAAATGGATGTCTAGATATACTTGAACAAACATACTACAACAACATTTCTAACTACCGATCATCCAAGCATATCCGCTAAACTTTGACCACATAGATGAATAAGAATAAAATTTCTCGGTGGATTATACATCTGCCAAACTCTGATCAAGTGTTTGTTGTTCATATTTTACTATTATACATGTTTTTTAGTTTATCTGACCATCCAACACTGAACACATGGTTAAAATTAATATACTCAAGCATTTCTATACAAAGCTTGAAGAAAGAGAAGAACATGACAAGTAAAGTATCCATCAAAGATTGTATGTATGGATGATGGCAAGTATGTTGACTAACTCGGTGTTATTAACTTTCATAAGTACTACGATGAACTAGTGCTTATGGTAAAATGGACAAGTGTTTATGGCCGAATCCAAATGGATGATCTGAAAGAGTTTAGAGAACCTTAAATCCATTATGGTGTTGCTGGTTGTGATGGTGTCCCAAGCCTGCAACAAGTCTTGATGATTTTCAATTAGCCGACAATACATATGGTCTTCACCAAACACATACAATTACCCAATTTATAATAGACATTGCTTCTCTTGTTTGTCCAAGAATCAAGAACAACCTTTTTAAATAAATTAGAAACTTTTGAGTTTTTACATGTCAAAAAACATAATTATTGTGAACATATTAGATAATGGATATGAACGAAAGAATAGTTAAAAGAAATAATACATAACGCACCCATATGGTAGACATAACGTATCCATATGGAACTGACCAATCTTATCATATGCCCATTTAAAGCTTACCAATCCAATTCAAACGTATGGACACAAGTTTATACATGAAAAATAATCGCCAATTTAAATTTACATCGTTCATTTTTTTTGACCATTTATTCTCTTCTGTATGTCCTATTATTATATATCTGCCAAACTCTGATCGAGTGTTTGTTGTAACAACACCAATCACGTCGTGGTGTGTAAGTAACTTCGTTTAAATGAATAACACTAAACCCTTACATCTACCTTATAAATCCAAACCGATATGCTATTTTAAAAAAATTTATAACACTAAACCCTAACTCCTACCTTATAAACCCAAACTAATATGTAAATTTGTTTAAATTTATAACACTAAACTCTAACTCCCTTCCCTAAAACCATCACCCATCAATACAATAATAACACCTTGTTTCTCTCCAGGATTGACACCTCAGATTTTTCAGATGTTCTCAGCTTGACAAATCAGTAAAAATCAGCACTTCAATATTCCACGTCACCTTGGAGACCCAGAATCCCTAGCCGCTCTAGAAAACAAAAAGCTTTCAACTTGTTTCTCGAATCGGTGGTTTCTCAAATCGAAGATTAAAGATGATGAAGAAGAAGAATTCGATCACATGACATTGATCGAGAACACACTTAGTTCTATATGTAATTTCTCCAACGACATCATCTCTGGCAAGGTTAGTATTCGATCCCATCATGTTTGGTATTTTGATCATTTGGTTGGCTTCAATCAATAACATTTCTGATCTTGGAAAAATAGTTCTTTGGAGGTGTCTCACATTTTGATTCTTTTTTGCTTGCTATCCTGACTCAATTTTGTTTATACATTGCATTGCAGATAAAGCCACCATCTTCTCCTGAGTGAGTGTCATTTTACTCGGATACTTTCTGTAGGCATCCTCCGTTGAAGGTATCTCACACTATTCTAATTTCACTTCGTGAACATACGTTTTGTTGCAAGTTTCGCTGTCTTCAATAGGATTCATCTTCTTTGTTAAGGTTTTGGAATCTCACCGTCTTTACAATGCTTGCTTGCTTAATATCTGTTTCTTCCAATGAGGAGCAGGTATGGCTCTTCAGACATGCTAAACACTCTCTAATAAGTTTCAAAAATGTTTCATTCATGTGTTCAAGGTTTCATTTATATGTAAGGCCTGATTTAATCCATAGAAAAAGTCTATCGCTTAGTGCTATATCCATTGTGTTTGCAGGCTGGAACTTGTTATTTTTTCTTTGCGGTGTATTCCGAGGAAAAAGGGAGAGACGTCAAGTGTTTGATGATGACGTAAATTTCTTGGCATAAGTGAAATCTGGAAATTTGAGATCAGATTATGGAAATGCCTATTTCATCACAGGTATTTGACTCTCTGTTCTTCATTACCTCGGAATGGGATTCTAAGAGTACAAGAACTATAAAGTGAAATTGTTCCTCTATTTTGGCAGAGATTCATTATAGCTAAACTCATAAAGCTTTCCCATTATTCAAACTAAGCTCATACACTAACTGTTTGAACTTGAATGCTTAGCAATCTTCACTTCTGCTTTTACTCGGATGATTGCATCTTCGAGGACCTGACTTATCAGCTTTGAAGGTGAGGAATTACAGAATCCTATTATGAACTTCTTAAGTTGTCTCTGTTATTTCAGTTACTGCTCAATAGAATGACAAGTGTATCTGCTTTAATTAAATGACGAACAATCTGATATGTGAGTAGATTAGCTATCAAATCCTAAATCTAGATATGAGGATAAAGTAGTCTATTTTGAATTTTCTCCTTTGTAGGTACAGAGTTGTACTAACATGACTTGAGGTTACGGGTTCGGTGGTTTCTGTTCCACAAAGATGCATCATCCATTGTACTGCAAAATATTGAGAAGGATTGAGAAAGTTTCAGAAGAACATCACAATGGAAGAGTGAAGGTGATGAGAGAGAGCCATGGAATCTCCATTTTGTTTTATAGGCAAATGTTTTCTCAGGGTGTATGCAAGTATATTAGCTTCATGTGTACTATGGTTCTTTTGAGTAATAATAATATTCATCAAGTAAAACGATTAAATTTTTTCATTGTTCCGAATACATCATGGTACATTATCTATTTTACCAAAAAAAAAAAAAAAATGGTACATAATCTATATTTTATGTTAGTGTAAGTATAACCATGAAGTAATTCTCTACGATGAAAACCTATATCATCATCTTTTACCTCATCTACTTACATAACTTTAGTTATAAACTAATACTGTAAGTAACTATAATACTATAAATGCTTAACGCAAATATTATCATTCTATTGGGTTATAATCATCATATAAACGTGATATTATGGTGAAGTTTTAACAAAACGTAGTTCTTACCATCGTTAAAAATCTATTAATACAATATATCTTCTTCAAGTTTTTGATTTACGTTCAAACTCCATGTTCTTATATGACTAAATTATATTGCAATCAATCATCTAATGTTAGAGTTCAAAGAAAAATAAATTTCATTTTGCGGTTAAATTATATTAGAATTAATATGACAGATTTTAGTTGTAAATAATTTACCAATTCTCTTATACTTTCTACTATGAATATTTATAAGTACTTTACGTAATTCACTCTTTTAAAAACACGCACAATATTAAAATCAACATCAAAATACTACATGTGAAATAATATTCTCCCGCGGTAGACCGCGGGTCCCAATCCTAGTAAACCCTAAAACACTTAACTAAAACCTAAACACTAAACACTTAACCATTAACATAATCTATCCACATGGAAGTGACCATAAGAGTAGGGAAATATTCAGTCAAATTAACACTAAAATGGGACATAAAAAACTGTCCATATGAAACTTACGATGGGAGTAAGTTCCCACTACCATTCTTGTTCTATGTGTTCGAAAAAAGAAAGAAAGTGATTGGTACCACTTGGTCTATGAAAATGACATTTACTTCGAACTTATTGTTGTCGTCCACAAAACCATGTCCAGATGATATAATCTATACGAATAAATATTTGACCAAAATTTAAAATAACGATTATACAATTATTATCTTTCAAATACCAACACCATAATTGCTTCCGTCTCTTAGTTCTCAACTCAAGAAAAAAAAAGATGATTGTCGAACTAAAGCACTGCTTACCAAGGAAGTAGTTGAACCGCCACAAGAATTGGTTTCTCGGGTTAACTACTTCAAAATTATTAAGATCCAATAGTGATGTAGTTTTCTTTGCCCCAACTAATTTCTTATTGAATAATTCTAGTTTGTAGTTGATGGCTACTCTACTATTTGTTTTTTTTTTGTCAAAACTATTTCAAATGAAAACAAGAAAATATAAATATATCACCATGAAGTTTTTCAATATAAGCCGAACACATGTTCAAAAACAAATGAACTACGTAGATAGGTCTATGGTCACTAGAAAACTAATCATCGTAATCATGTTCACATGGATAGCTATGAGAATAAATCCAAGATTGATACACGAGTCCATAAACTCCAGTTCATATGTTCATGAAATTAAGTCTATATATATATGGTCATGGTAATTTTGTACCATAAAATCCAGTTCATATGTTCGAGAAATAAAATTCTATCCACAAGGTCATGTATATATGATTTCCTAGAATATTACACAAAATATAGTTTTGACCATCTATAGAAATATCATTAATGAACTAATATCTTCAATAAAAATTGACTTGATCGCCATCACCATCTCCCACATAACATAGCTTTCGAGATCAACCGTTGCTGGAATCAGCTCCAAACATACTTCATTGTCGAAAGAGCTATCATTGTTGTCGTTAAAGCAAGTGCATCGATTTTGCGATGACTGGTCACCAACCATAGACACATATATTAGCTGCTCACGAACATCATCACTCTGAGAAGCCAAGAGTTGAACAAAAATCGGAACAGCACCATGTTCAATGACCACCTTTGTGTTCTCTGAAGTCCCAGAAGCAATGTTCGTCAATGCCCAAACAGCCTCAAACTGAAGCCACACACATACACACAAAGTATTTGAAGTATCAGACGATAGTTCTAACAAATGCAAGTTATTAATTATGTAACAGAACATAAAGGATCCACCAAACCTGAAGCTGTGGATAATCCTCTCTCGTGAGAAATTCCACAAACCGAGGCACAACACCAGCTTGAATCACCTCTTCAATCGGAGGATTACGCTCTGCCAAAGTTCAAAAACCACAGATTCATTTCAAGAAATTCCCAAATCGAAAGCAAACTTAAAAAAACACAAATAAAAAAATTACCAATAGAAAGCAACTTCCGGAACTGAGTAGTTGCTTCAAGCTGTAAACTTCTATCATCTGACCAAACACCACCAACCATTGAAGGCAAACTCTCCAACTTGCCAAAACCAAAATCAAAATCGATCTAATTAGCTCCAAATCAGAGAACACAACACAAACCCTAGAATCAGTTCCAGATCCCTACTAATTTACCTTCTTCTCAACAGTTGATGAAGCAGGAACAGAAGAATGAGAGAATTGAGGTAGCTGATTAGCTTGAAGACCTTCAGGACGCTTCTAAAAGTAAGCTTTCTTCACGCTTACTTTTCTCAACCATGTTGTCCTCTCTCCTCCGTCTTCCTTCTTCTGCATCCACCGCTACTTTGTAGCGGTTCCGACGAACCTCAGTTGAAGCGTCGGCGGCGGAGGAGGAGGAAGAGCACGGTGGAAGCGCCGCCGTCGTAGAGGAAGGTTTGGGACTTCTCCGTGTGAGAGATTGAAAGATGGATTTGATTATCAGATTGGGGCTAGAGATGAATGAGAACAGTTTGCGGAGATTGATGAGAGAATTGGAGAGAGAAGTGAGAGAGAGTCTGAAAACATGAAAAAGGGACTGTGAGAGCCGTTGAAAGAAGCTTCGTCGATGGTATTAATTGTTTCAACAAAAAAAGGGTATTTTAGACTTTAATACAGAGAGAAAACTTGTTGAAGATGAAAGTGTGCCATAGTGAAGTGGAAGTTGAGAATGTGTGGCAAAGCGTAAATATCTCAAGAATAAAGATGCAAAAAAATTTTGGTTTTGGTTAAGATTCGGATTTAAGTGAGATACTTTTTAAAATTTTAAAGAAATTTCGGTTTTAAATTAATTTTTTTTTACTTTTCGGTTTAGTTTTGGATCGGATAATATATATGATAAAAAGAAAAATTACATATGAAATTTATCTTTAAAAATGGTTCGGCTAATACGGATAGAGTATAGATAATTTAGATATATAAAATCTATTCAGATATTAAAGATCATTTTTGTGTTCGGGTCTTTTCTGTAACAACAAATAATTTTAGATATTTTGGTGTTTCATTACTTTAAGAGCATATGTCAAATTCGTGTTAGGGTATTTCAGTTAAATAAGTTTGGTTTGCTTCAATTTTTTCGATTACTGTATTTATTAATCAAATGTTTTCGATCACTATTTTTACTAATCTAAATAAATTTCATCAATTGACGAAAATGTTGCTGAAACAATAGTGACATGCAAATTTGGGATTCATTTGCTCTACTTTGTAAGATAATTAAGGAAATATAATACGATTTTGCATTGAAAAAAATATTTACAAAATCACCCGAATGGTAATTCGGATATCTTGTTCTATACTTGATAAGCTAAATTATTACTAAACTATCAATATCTAATGTCAATATAAGAAATTGTTAGTACAAAAATTTTTAATAACTAAAAAGATTTAACCACATGCATCGCTTACAAACGCTGGTAGAAAAAGATTTTAAAATCTCAGCAATTCCAAACATTGTAAAATGATTTTTGTGATTGCTATATCGAACACTAGCAACCGCAACCACTCGTATTAATATAGCGTTTACAGATGATTGTGGGAGAATTAACCGATCAAACTCTAAATGTACTTTGTCATGAAACCTATATGATCAAGACCCAAGTCTTCCAAATAATCTTTCCAATAAATTCACTTGTAGAAATTGCCTTTTTATGACTTAAATGAAAATTAGTGACTTATAGAGTCTTAGAGGAAACTCTAGTTTACAGAAATACATTGGAGCAAAATCTTCTCTAAAATAGAGGAAAATATAGAGGTGGCATTGGAGATGGTCTTAACTTTAATAAATTATATCATAGGAGACTCAATGATTAAACAAGATAAAATCATGTCACACAAATACTTATATCATATTGCATATATCATAATCATATCAAATTATATTATTTCGAGGGTAACACACTAATTTGTAAACAAACTAAAAATCAAATAACACATTACATCTTCACAACACAATTTATTTGCTCTTGCCTTTACTTTCAATAGATATATATGACTCCTCTAGCTTCAACTGTTGATCTTTGTCTCTTATACTATCGGACCGCGATTTGGTAATCGAGCTCAGTAACAATTGCCAAATGAAGATTGGTTCTGATCAAATGGTAACATCCTCCCAAAAGGTATCCGGCAGCTCTTGGTAGACAGGAATTGTGGCAACGTATTGGAACTGTACCAACAAAAAGCAACATTTTAAGTATAAAGAATGCTACTAATTCAAATATATTCATAAATTGTAATGTTAATTACCTTATGTTGCGTGTATTTCTTTCTAACAGCTTTTGAAGCACCTTCACTTCTGCTCAGATACAAGTCATGCATGATTCCCACACACACTTGTAGATCAGATGCTTTGTACTTTGTGTATTCTTCTAACATTTGACTCTGTTTCACAAACCATAGATTATTAGTGTCTCATTCAAGAGAACGACTCAACATATTAACCTGAAAAAGAGATTGAGACAAAAATTCTTACCCAAGGATGTTGTTTGGGACGGATGATGAATTGAGCGAGAAAGACAGCAGAAGCAGCCAACAAAGATGGAACAAACTTCACACAACTATAATCTAACATACTTAGTTCTGATAAATAGCAACAAAGAGGCTCTAGCTGCAAGTTTGGCACTTTGAAATCTTCTTGTGCAACCCTTATGAACCGTCTGCACAAACACAACCAACATGAGAACAAAGAACCATAAGATACGACCAAAAATAAGTATTATCAATAAACACATTGTTTTCATCACAATTCTAACCTTAGAAAAGTATTGATCGTAGGCCTTCCTAGTTCAAACTCAAGCGCGAAAAGTATTTCCTCTTCCATCTTCAACACATCTTGTTTCGTATATGTATTAGCCGTAATGTAACAAAAATCCTCCACTTTAGGACGACGTTTCTCTTCATACTTCCTATTTATATCAAATGTCAAAAAAAAAAAAAAAAAACTCCATAAGCGTCATACAAGACAATGAATAGTAAAGAGAGTATCAAAAACACTTACGAAGCAATAAACATTGCAGAAACTCCTACAAGCTGAAGTTTTTGCTCGTTGACAGTCTTTGAGGACAAGAATCTATCGATGTAAGAGACAGTGAGATAGATTGTTTCAGACCCGAGTTCGAACTCTTCAGCAACTTCCACTAACCAATCTACTAAAACACCTCTCGAGCTTGGTGTTACTTCTTCTTGAACCTTTTCCATATAATCATCTAAAGGTCTTAGCTTTGGCTTCACCTGAATTTCACCAAACCAAAAAAAACAATCTTCAGAACAAATCCACAAATCCTAAGTCCAAACAGAGGAAAAATTTTAGAAACTCTTCAGATAAAACACTAAATTGACCTATTGAAACTAGTCAATGTTCTAAGTCCAAACACAGAGCAAGTAAGAGATTATTACCTCTAATTCACGGAGATACTCGTAGATATCTGAGACATAAAGTCCACACATCTGTGGATCATCAGATCTAGCGTCAATGTCAGAGCCTGATTGAATGTTCTCTTGCATCGCAAGTAGCCTATGTCGAATCTTTGCCCACTCTGCCGGGGAAGCATCTTGAGCGTTATGGTCGGCATGAAACTGTTTGTTTTTCTCAGTGAGCATATTTGTCGAAGAAGAAGAACAAATCTTGCAAAGAACAACGATAAATCTTACACGAAGTCCCTATTTATAGAGTAGCTAGACTCTATCCTAAAACAAAAAGGTTTTAGAATTCAGACGACAGACTCCCAAAAAAAAAGGAAAATTAAACCCAAGTCATTCAAAAAAGGAAAACAAAAACAAATATTTCCAAAAGGGTTAACTTATAGAAATTGCCCTTTTTTTTACTTGATTAAAAATCTTAAAACAGTAATTAAATATTATTGCCTTTTTTTGAATCTAAAATTTGTAATTTGGTTGTGTTACTTTTTTTTTTGAACTTTGGAGAAAATTGTGACTTAGAAATCCGAATTATTATTCGATTTGGTTTGCTTATTTAACAAATCAACGTTACCTTTTATATTTTTCACCTATTCCTAGTTGGAGTTATCATTTTTTTTTTTAGTGAGAAACCCTGCAATTTATTAATAAAGAACTAGATTTTAACCTACGGTACACCGTGAGGTAATTTATTTCTTAAAATTAGTATATATAAAATTTTGCAAATTGTATCTCCTTATAAAATATTTATATTTTATAGTTTACAATTGTTATTAAGTAACGGTATACCACGAGTCCACAAGACAATTGTTAATAAACTGAGGATTTAATCAGTAATTAAACGGTATGTTAAAGATATTTTAAAATTTTATAAATATTGATTCAAACCTGTCCGCCATATAAACCCGCTCCGAAATATAACCCGTCCCGTGATTTATTTTCTAAACGTAGTGATTTTAAAATTTAATGATTATTTATTATATATAAAAATTTACAAATTGTATCATTTTCTAAGACATTTATATTTTAATAAACTGAGGATTTAATATGTATTAAAGCGGCATGTTAATGATATTTTAATATTTTATAAATATTGATTCAAACTCGTCCACCATATAACTCCGTTCCAAATATAACCCGTCCTGTAATTTCTTAACACGTCCCGTGATTTGTTTTCTAAAAATTATAATTTTAAAAATTTAACGATTATTTATTATATATAAAAATTTGCAAATTATATCATTCTCTAAGATATTTATATTTTATAGTTTACAATTGTTATTAAGTAACATTATACCACAAGACAATTTTTGGTTTTATATAATTTTTTCTAAATGAGACTCATTTGATATGTCTAATATTGGTGGTATTAAAAAAAAAAAAAATTAATCCGTATTGAAGCGGTGGATTAATGATATTTTAATTTTCTTATTATTGTTGATTCAAAAACCTGTCCCGCCAAACCCGTCACGCCAAAAAACCTATTTATTTTATTAATGTTGATCTTATTTATGATATAATTCTGAATCATTATCTAAATATTTTAGTCGATATGGAACGTTGAACTCACATTTTTCGTCAATTGGATAATATATGTCCGTTTTTAAAATTTCGAATCACAGTATATGCAAAATTTTTTATTTTTTATTATGTATTATATTATGAGTCAAAACAGTTAAAAACAAATCAAACAAAGATAATAGGAGAATCATAATTCTAAATCTTAATCAAATATTCTAAATATCTAAATTATTAAATACCGGTGTATGAGTTGGATTAAAATAACCCGACCCAACAAACTTTTCATGATCAAAATTTGTAAACGGGTCAGATACCCATTGTATCCAAATGCATTTTGCCCCACCCGCTAAAAATGTACTTCAAAAATACTAGTACAGATAAAGAAAATTACATTCGGATTAACTTTGGAAACGCAATTCCGCTATCATCCTCCAAAACAATAGTCTCCACTGAAACCAGAGCTGAATCTAACATATGAAACCCTAAAGGCAATGTAAAAGCATAGTTTGCTAACCCGTCGGCAAGACGGTTAGCCTCCGTATAGACATGCGAAATCTGGACTATCCAGTCCCTAGAAAGAAAGCCATGGCACAAACGTAGCAAGAACGACATGGCGTATCGCTAATCCCTGATTTTAGAAAACCAACCACCAACTCCGAGTCTACTTCCATCTCCAAACACGTAATCCTCCTCCCCCCACGCGATATAGAGCCCATAGTAAACTCCCCACAATTCTGCTAATAGAGTGGAATTCACACCAATATTGAAGGCAAACCCTCCACACCAACGACCCGTATAATTTCTTAGCACACCGTCCGCTGCAGCCAAGCCTGGATTACCGCGAGAGGCACCGTCGGTATTCAGTTTTCCCCACTCCCCCTCTGGTGGTCTCCAAGCTATCATCTTTTCAACCCTCACCCCCAATTCATTCCCGGGTCGGTTCAGTTCAGTAGACCGGTGTACTTCTTTTGCCAAATCAATGACAAATTTAACTCGATCTCTACATTTACCGGTCTCACCAAACACATACCCATTTCCATCCCCACCAAACCCCGATCGCAAACATTGTCGACAATTCACACTCCTCCCCTCCTACCACTATACCCAGATTCCCGTGAAGCCAATCAAGTAATGTGGCCGTAAAGAATTCGTTCTTCCTACGTACCAGAACAATATGATTCCACATCCCCGCAATAGACGGGCAATCTCTCAAAACATGTAGGATTGTCTCTTCACCTCCTTTACAAACCTGGCAAACATTCGTCTCCCCAAGATGCCTCCTAAACCGCTCCACATTAGTCATGATGGCTTGATGCCCAACTAGCCACAAGAAACTCTTAACCCTCTCCGGTGCGGTCACTCTCCAAATGCGATCAAAGAATCCTGCCATGTTCTGTCGTGGAGATTGGTTATTTATTAGCAAATTATAAGCATATTTCACCGTAAATCTTCTATCTGCGGACTCCCCCCATGATAATCTGTCCCTAGCACCTGTCACGTTGTCAAGCACCACCGCTGCCAATTCTAGTCTCGTGTTCGGCATAACATATGGCATAATCTCTTCCAGAATCCGACCGGTTCCATCTCTCTATGCCCGTCTCTATTCCATGGCAGATTAGGCAAATGCCATGGGTTCATTATTAATTTCAAAAAAAAAAATTAAGGATAAAGGCCTATTTATTATTATAAAAAAAAAATTACTAAGAGATTTTAGTTTTTTTTTTTGTTTTGCCAGAGACCCAATTATATATTGAGACGGCATGCATCTCTCCATAGGTTCTTTACCCACAAGTCTAGATAACCACTTGGTAACTCCATAATCGCCTTTTCTGTCAATGGCAAATTAGATACTCCCTCCGTTTTCGAAGAGTTGTCGTTTTAGAGTTTTTTTTTTGTTTTAAATTAGTTGTCGTTTTAAGGTAATAATGTAATTTATGCCAATAACTACCCAAATTACCCTCATTTTATTGAACACAAATTATTTGTAAATAATTACTTGTCATTTTTATGAGGTTAATATAGTCATTGTATACCTTTTCTTAATTTGTCCAAATACAGTTAAAACGACAACTTTTTAAAAACAGAGGGAGTAGCCACTTATCCGACCAAAACCGTATTTCCCGGCCATCACCAAGCACCCATCTACTTCCATGAAGGCCCACATCCCGCAGCCCAACCAGCACACTTCTCCAGGTCGAGGAACCTGGTCGTTTAGCTGCCAGCCAGCTTTGATCCTGGTCCTGGAGCCCTCCCACCTTATACTTCAACCGCAACACCTAAGCCCAGAGGCTTGTATTGTCGTGCATAAGCCGCCATCCCACGTTTGATACCAAAGCCTTCAGGGCCATAGTTATGACTCAATGATTGGTTTGGTGTATAGCTGTATAAGTAAAACATAATGGTGGCTACTCCTCTCTCCAATCTTAATCATTCAATTCTTCATAGACAGAGACACGAGTTGTTTGTTATTTCCCGAGTTTAGTCTCTAGTTTGTAAAAATGATTATCAATCTCTTGGTTATTTTTCTTCGATATTGTCATTAGTTTCTTTAATGTTACAACAATGACTTTAGAGTTTTAGCCTTATCAGAACTTTCATAAATTATTTCACAGGAGGCTCAATGCTTTAACAAAATAAGATCATATCACAAAAATACTTATATCATATTGCATAATTCATAATTGTATAAAATTATATTATTCGGGGTTACACACTAATTTTGTAAACAAAATGAGATTCCAATAACACACCACACATCTTCACATAACACAAACTTATCTGCTCCTGCCTTCACTACTATAGTTCTTACTCTTCTAGCTTGACTTGTTGATATGTGTCCCTTATACTATTTGAAACAAGATTCGGTAATCAAGCTCTGTAACATTTGCCAAAGATAGCATAACCTCAGCCAAAAGAAAGATGGTTCAGATCAAATGGTAACATCCTCCCAAAAGGTAACCGGCAGCTCTGGTGAAACAGGCATGGTCGCAACGCATTGGAACTGTACCGAGAAGAAGCAACAGTGTAAGTATCAAGATTCAAGAATGATGCTAACTAAAATGATTCCATCAGTAAGTATTTAATCATTGTAATGTTAAGTACCTTATGGTGCTTGTATTTCTCTCTAACAGCTTGTAGAGCACCTCCTCTTCTGCTTAGATACAAGTCATGTATGATTCCAACACACACTTGTAGATCAGCCGCTTTATACTTTGTGTATTCTTCTAACATTTGATTCTGTTTTACAACCATAGATTATTAATGTCTCATTCAAAAGACTGACTCAACATTTTAACTTGAGTTAAGACTAAAACGCTTACCCAAGGATGTTGTTTAGGACGGATGATGAATCGAGCGAGAAAAACAGCAGAAGCAGCCAACAGAGACGGCACAAACTTCACAGTTTTGTAATCTAATATACTCAATTCTGATAAATAGCAACAAAGAGGCTCTAGCTGCAAATGTGGCACTTTGAAATCTTCTTGTGCAACTCTTGTGAACCGTCTGCACAAACACCAACATAAACACACACAAACTCAGGACAATGAACCATAAGTACTATCACCAAAAACACATTGTTTCATCACAATTCTAACCTCATAAAAGTATTGATAGTTGGCCTTCCTAACTCAAAATGAAGCGCGAGAAGTATATCCGCTTCCATCTTCACCACATCTTGCTTCGTAAACGTATTATCCGTAATATAACAAAAATCTTCAACTTTAGGAGGACTTATCTCTTCATACTTCCTATAAGAGGAAGATACCATAAGCATTCATACAAAGACAATGACAACAACACAAGAGAAAGATCATAAACACTTACGAAGCGATAAGCATAGCAGAAACTCCCACAAGCTGAAGCCTTTGCTTGTTAACAGTCTTTAAAGACAAGAATCTATCAATATGTGAGACAGTGAGATAAAGTGTTTCAGATCCAAGTTTATACTCTTCAGCAACTTCCACTAACCAATCAACCAAAACACCTCTCATGCTTGGTGTTACATCTTTCTGAACTTTTTCAATATAATCAGGTAAAGGTCTTTGCTTTGGCTTCACCTGAATTCACCAAATCAAATTCAAAACTATTCAGATCCAATTCCACAACTAATCAATGATTCAAAATCCCAAACACAAGATTATTACCTCCAGTTCACGAAGATACTCGTAGATGTCTCTGACATAAGGTCCACACATTTGAGGATCATCAGATCGAGAATCAATGTCAGATTCTGAATCTAGGTCAATAACCACCGGAGCTGACTTAATCTGTTTCGCCGGAGGAGGTCTAAGACTCTTTTTTGGCTTCTGGGTTTCTCTCTTCTGATTGAGATTAGCTAAAACCTTGACATTGGAGACATTAAGAAGCTCACCAAGAACAACTCTCTTCTTGCTGACTCGATCTTCGTCAATACCCATCGCTTTTCTCTTCGCCGCTGCTCTCGTAACCCTCACGCAGATCTCTTGCTCCGTCATGGTTGAGATGAGATTGAAGAGAGAGTGAGAGAGAGAGAGAGGAAGAGAGAGTTTGAGAGATTGAGAGATGGGATGAGTGAAAGAAGTGAAGGAGAGAAGGGGAAGAAAAAGGGAAGAGCAAAAGCGCCATTTCTGAAGATTGTGGCGCTCTCTGTGATTTTTTGGAGTTTGGGATTTTTGAGTTTTTTTGGGAGTCAATTAAAAATTTTGGAGGTGCGAAATTTATCTGAAATTTGTTTGGCGGGTGATTTCTGTTTTTTCGGATTTTTTGTCTGAAAATGTTTTTGACCGGTAAAGATTGGGTTTTTGCCTTGGTGGTTCGATTGGAAACAAGTTTGACATTTGCCAAAAAATAAGCAAAACAAAACAAAATAAATCTGACATTTTTGTCCCTTCGGACTTCGTAGACATTTGATATGTTAAATAATGTATATTTTTTTTCCTTGAATCAGACTATGCTTTTATCTTGAACTAACTAGTAATAGTTTTTTTTTTTTTTAATGTCAGTACATTTTATTTATTTATGTTCTAAATCGTGATTGTTTTTGAAATTTTTACAATTTAGTGTTACTAGGGGAACTCCATCCCATCGGTGGAATCTCATCCTCTCTCTGTATTGCCCACCAACGCCTCTCCGTCTTCCTAAACTCCATCCCATCGGTGGGATCGAGTCGAGAAATCTCTCTCCTCCGGCTATACGTGATTGTGACTGGAGAGGCCGAGAGGGAATTGGTTCTTTCATCGGCGCTGGTGATGTTTTGATAAATTTCATACTTTTTTCAATTTCAAATAACGGATGAGGTGATAAAGTTCGTGGGCTCTATGTCGAATTCGAGCAAGCTTTGTTTAATTTGAAACCAGATAAAGGAGAGAATGATCCGGGTATGTGGATGAGTGAACCTAATACCACCCGAATTGAATCGGGTTTTGAAGCTCCGGCGTTGAATAATGGTGATGGCTCCGACGTTGAATGAAATTTGCTGGCGGAGTGGGTTCTTTTCCGGTTTGCTTCATCATCTTCACAAACTTTCAATGCTTTCTCATGAATTCTAGGCTTCTAGTACTCAATTTTGTCATGAATCAAAAATTCCCAGAAACTGAAATGAAAATAGAAAAAGCCTTGATTGAGATTGGGAACGTGATAGAAACAGAGAGAGAGGGAAGAGAAAGAGATAGAGACATAGATTAATTAAATAGCAAATGGGCACAAACGAATTTCTTGAATCGTGAGATTATGTTACGTCGCGTCCTTAGATTCATAAACGCGGCTGAGTAAGAAGAGTAGAGAATTGTTGCAGGTTAGGAGAAGAAGGGAGAGGGGAAGAAGAAGAATAAATGGGTCAGTCGGGTGGGGTTTTAGATTGGGTCGGGTTATAGGTCAACCGGTTTTTAGTTTGGTTATATTAGGTTTGTGTGGTTTACGTACTAAACCGACGAAACCAAGATTTATGGACATTAAGCTCTCGAACTTTCAATTGGTGGGGAAATAAACATTTAACTTCCGTTTCATGGGTATATAGACAGAGGTCAAAGATCGGGCTTTATCTGGCCAGATACGATAGTTTTCGGGGGAAAATAGACCGTTTTTCCGTTACTAGGTGTATTACTATTAAATTGACCTAGACTATGCCAAAACTCGGTTTTGAGATATAGATTATGTATATTCCTATGTACATATCTCTTGATTGCTTTAAAAAAATGATTCTAAGGAAAGAATGGACCGGATACATAATCAAGTTTTGAATTAGACTATGCTTTTATCTTGAACTAACTAGTTTTAGTTTTTTTTTTTTTAATGTTGACACATGTTTAATTTATTTCGACCCGACTTGGAGACAATCGGATCTTACCTTCTTTGTGATTTTCAACCCGAAATTTATTCACCAAATCTTTGACCCGAAAATTTGTTTAATTTTGACCCGGAATTTGACCCGAAAAAAGTATTTCGGATTCACATTAAATGATACTTTCCAAAAAAAATCCTAACAAATTAAAATGATTTGTTTGGTAACCAACAAATCTTTAGTTCGGATCTAACACAAATTTCGCCTATTATTATGTATATCTCTTTTGGTAAGATGTTTTCTACAAAAAGAAACGACAATAATTATCTCATTAATTACACGGTTCTAACAACTAAACATGGAATGCTAACAATATACATAAATCTCGACGATTGTAATATATATATCTCTTTTGTACCATATATAGAGAATATACCTAATATAGTTAGGATTAATTTCAAATTGCGAGATTTTCAAGATTTTGAACTTGATCACCAAGATTTTTTCGCTTTACAATCAAACCTAACCCTAAACATCTACAACCTCTATATATAACATGTCAACACATGCAAAAGAAAAAAACAGCACATCAAGAAACATTATACCTTTTACATCGAGGATGAAACCTTTTCAATATCTCCATGGTTGTTTCATTCGCCTATCTAAGAGACGGGTTTACTTTATCGTATGACGAATCTAAGTTAAGATCCTGCATCATGGCAATACACAACCAAACTGGTCAGTGGTGAGATTCTGAACTCAAATATTATTTTCAGTTTCCAAATTCATTTTTTTTGTTTTGTTTTTTCTGCAGATTTGTGGTTAACAAGAAAATGCAAGAGAAATGTTCTGCAGATTTGATTTGAACAACACAGATTCTACAGATCCATAAAGCCTTTAACTTCTTTTTGATACTACATTACAATATTGTATACATTCCTTTTCATAAAAATATATATCATTTTGTGTTTCTTCTGGAATACTTTGTTTTAGTATTAGTTGGATTTGGATTTGATCTAATCTATGTTTATAAATTGTTTTCTACAAGATTTTATGTGTAGGAAATGAAGAATTAAGATGACAAGAAACTATCATGTATTCTTGAAATACCTTTTGAGGCAATCAAATGATTAGCTTAAAACATAAAAAGACATGGAAAAATGGAAAGAGACTTTGAAAACGACAGACCTGTTTGTACTATATTGTATGAAAATGTTCTTTAAGATCTCATAAGGAATCTCATTGTTTACTTTGGTCCTTGACTATGTTGAATAAGCGTGTCCATGTTGCTTTGCATTTGAGATCCATGAACCTGCCAAATTCAACAAATGTCACAACGTGAACAACCAGAGCAATCTCTCTTTAAACATGTTACCAATGAAGATTTTAGTCTCTGAGCAAATATCAACGAAAATTATATGATATATAAAATTTACGAATGCAAGAAGAACAAACAAAGATCTAACTGATTATTTTTTCAAAGATTAGAACCATCGAGTTAGAACCTAAAACAAAAATAAAAGAAGAAGCATCCTTTTACGGAGTTAGCACAAGTCTTAATACATAATAATTAGATTGTCAAAAGTTCATGCGTAAGTAAAGATAGAGTTTTAACATCTAATATCTTGGAAAGACCCTCTCTACCTTATAGCAACAATCAAAAAGCATAACGTTTTTTTTAAATGTGCTTAATAGCAACAATCAAAGACCTGAATGGGATCCTGTGCATCGGTTTCACGGATCGTCAATGGAAATGAGAAGGAAGATGAGGTCGGATTCGTCGATACACAACCTGGGTTCGTGGAAGGGCAAGGTCTAATTTTGCTACACAAATGATAAAAAAGGAAAAGTAATCAAGATTAGATTTGTTTTGGAGATCAAGAATTAGACTGAGAAGAGGAACAAATCCATTGAGAAGACCAATCTGCACAAACTTGGATTGGGTACTGAAAGGAGTGGTGAGTGGCTGAGAAGAGGAGAAAGAAGGAATGGCTAAGGCAGGGGAAGAGGATGTAAGAGATAGAGCACTAGCAAACGAGATTAGTTTTGGTAAGAGAGAGATTGAAGGAGAAGAAGAAGAAGAAGAGAGTTTCAAGCCTACATGGTTCTCGATCTGCTTTTGCTTCACATCTTCTCCAATTGTGGTCTCATGGCTCATGGCTCACTGGATTCACCACCGTAAACTGAGCTCTATGACCGATCCACTCTCGCAAATCTAGGGATTTCAATTTGGTTTACTCATTTTCACATGATCACTAGACCAAGCGGTTGGTACGGGCATTCAACATTTCATTCTAGGCCTGCAGTAATAATCTGAACCGAACCAAACCGAGAGATAAAAGGTTTCCGGTTTGGTTTCAGTTAAGAGAGTTGGACCGATCAGAAGCTTTCTAAGTCGAGTTTGGTTATCCCCTCGGTTCAGTTCGATTCATCATATCCTCCGGTCGGGTTACAAAACAATTAATGAGACAATCAACAAAAATCATCATTAATATTTAAAATAATTCTTGAACGTGTATTATAGAATTTTGACGATATATCATTTTCATGTAACTAATTCCATATTTACTTTCATTTTTATTTATTTATTTTTATTTATATATTATTTCATTATTTTTATTTACTTTCATTTTTATTTATAGCAAATTTTCTAATTAACACAAAAAAAATTATGTTATTAGCATTAGAATAGTGTTCTTCTATTATAAACATATCCCACATACATCATATACTAACAAAATTAGAAATATTTAAATTTTATAAAAAGTTTAAAGTATTTATAATATTTAAATTCCATAAAAAGAATTTATAATATTAATAATATTTGAACTCTATAAAAATTAAAAATATAAATATTATGGAAACCATTTATAAGCAAACTTTAAATTGAATAACAAAACATAAATCATATGGGAACCATATGTCCTTTAAACAAAGTATTTTTCGGAAAAAAAAAAAGATTTAATTTCACAGGACGGGTTAGGGTCGATATTAATACGGGACGGTATACCATAGGTGAAATGCTAGAATTAACAACTAAAATACAAGTATACAATCATAAATACTATACAAAACAAATAATATCAACAAAACAACTACAACTTAAAATTTAAACTTTTTAGTTACAAAAATATCAATCCGCGGTGGGGTAAAATCTAGCTTTATTACAAACCAAATACGATCAATCATAAGATTATAAAAAAAAAGACAAAAACAAAAAAAGATTTAGATAAACCAAATTTTTTTTTAATCAAATAAATATAACACAAATAATCAAATTATTAAAAAAAAATACAAACAAAAATTTATTTAACCCGCGGTATACCGCGGGTCATATCCTAGTCTATAATGTATTAATAAAAAACAATTTCCATAAAATTCAACTTTTCTGAAATTAGGGGAACGTGGCTGCATTGATTTGGGAATTCCGAAAGCGACCATGTTTAGTGAAGTGATGAAGAAAACTCGGAAAAAAAGCATCGACAGAATTTTTAAAATCTTGTTGAAGATAAACTGCGAAAACAGAGGCAAAGAAGGCTGGAAACAGAACCAGACATAACACTTTGGACAAAAAAAGTGGATCCTATCGCAACAAGTTTTCTTCCAGAGAGACGTGGTCACAAATCTGCATCCCTAAACCTGTGATACAAGGGCATAAAGAGATATGTTTTTCAAACGCCACTCCAAAGTATGCACTTGTTACTTGGTTAATTGTGAAAAATAGAGTTGCAACAGGGGAAAGAATGGTTAAATGGAAGCAAAATGCGGACACGAGCTGCATCTTTTGTAAAGACTATGGAGATCAGGGAGCACTTATTTTTTCTATGCCCTTACTCGAGGAAGGTATGGGAGGAGCTGGCAAGTGGGATTCTCTTAGACAAATTCTCGGCAAGATGGCTAGAGATTATGCAGGTGCTCGCGAGTAAAGATCTTGGCAACACGAAAAACATTTATATTCAGGTATGTTTTTCTGTACACGATTGACTCCTTTTGAGAGAAAGAAATGACATAAGGCATGGTGAGCAACCTTCATCAACGAAGAAGATTGTCAAGATAATAGATAAGAACATTGGAAACCGCGTGAACACACTAAGGCGAGGAGGTGAAGAAAGATATGCCCGTGGGAATAAAATGTTGTTTGCATCAAGACAATATCATAGATAGAATCTCTTTGGAAATTTTTTTTAAAAGTTTGCATTCTTATGTATAAACATTTTTTTTTGAATATTAACATTAAATTCAAAAAAATTCAAAAAAAAAAAACAAAAAATTCAACTATTCTTTGGATCTTGAAAATTCTTTTTAAATAGAAGCAACATGCTTATCGTTTAATCTCTTTTGCTAGGCCAAGGTTAAAATCTTCTTCTATAGGAGTTACAAAAAATGTGTAAAATCATCACCGTTGTAAGAAAAAAACATTTAAAAATAAATTTGTATGCAAGTAAGTTACTCTCTCAGACTCTCTATACTTTTTATTTTTATTATTTTGTTCACTTGATGTAGAAAGATTAAAGATAAGCTTGTAATAAAATATTTTGATTGTGTAAGAAAATATTTTGATTACCTAAATTAAAGATAAGTTCGAAAGTAATTTGTAAGAAAAATTACTTTTTTTGAATTAATTCAAAACTCTCAACGTAATTATAACTGAACTATTTATATTTACTGTATTTTTTTTCCACGAAATAATTTAAATATCAAACATTTCCTGTATTTTCGGTTATTTAATTATTTATACATAACACCGAACCAACCAATAAATGTCTAAAGACTAAAGTCATAAACTGATCCTTCCGAAAAAAATCTCCAAAATCCCTAAAATTCAACTTCACTCGAAAAATGGCAGAAACCTCCGAGACAATCACCACCACGATCTCATCGCCGCCACCGGAATCCGAAAGCTCCACCACATTATCCGCAATGACAGACCCAACGTCTCAAGAAGCAGCCTCAAGAGACACAGATCTGACGAAAGAAGCCGAATCAGAGAAGAAACCCGGAGGAATCTCTCTCCGAATCTGGCCACCGACTCAGAAAACTCGCGACGCCGTCTTGAATCGCTTAATCGAGACGTTATCCACCGAATCTATCCTCTCTAAGAGATACGGAACTCTTAATTCCGATGAAGCCACCACCGTCGCGAAATCTATTGAAGAAGAGGCTTATGGTGTTGCTTCGAATGCTGTGGTGAGTGATGATGATGGGATTAAGATTCTTGAGGTTTATTCTAAAGAGATTAGTAAGAGGATGCTTGAATCTGTTAAGGCTAGATCTAATGGTAATGATGGGAATGGAAGTGTGGAGGATGTGAATACTGATGCTAGTGAGGTTTCTAAAGATGATGCAGGTTCTGTTTCAGAGGAGGAGAAGAGTGAGGCTTGAAATTATCTTTCTTTATAATCTGTTTATTAGGGTTTTGCTTTTGCTAGATTGAGTTCTGTGTTCTTGTAATGATGATGATGATGATGACTTGTGGATTTGGTACTATGGATATTTGAAGATGTTTTCCTTAGTATGAGTAAGTGTCTTCATTTTGTTGCTTGGTTTTGGCTTTATGGGTTTTGATGTTTCATAATTATGCGAAATCTGCTTCCTTTCTTTTGTGTTATCTTTGTTGGTAAATTGTTTACCTTTTTTGTTTTGTTGTCAATCTTTGAGTGGTTTGGTTTGTGGTTTGTGGTTTGTTTTGCTTGATGCTTTTTTTCTACCACATTGTTTGCTTTGTGGCATTCATTGTGTAATTGCGGTTAGTATCATCGGGTTATGTCTTTGTGAATGTTAGAGCGATGTTTTTAGTTTCTTCAACACATTTGCATCTTTGCTTTGGTTTAGTGTCTCTATGCAACTTACCATTAGGTTATGAAGTGTTTTTAAATTGGGTTTGTAATCCTTTTGAAGCTTACCGTTATGAATAAGCTGAAGTTCTGTCGATTTATAGTGGTGACATGAACTTGTGGTGAGTTAGGAACATGTGATATTGTCTTACTTTGGTTTATAGGTTATGTAGCGTTTAGTCTATTGGAATTGGAGTCCTGTAATTTGTAAAACTTACCAGTATGATTAGGCTGAAGTTCTTTCAATTTTTCAGTGGTGAGAGGAACTTGTGGTGAGTTAAGAGTATAGATTAGTTTCTTTAGATTTTAAATCCTGAAGTAAATAGTTGGATTAACGTAATTACATCAGAACATGAAACAATATTTCCTACAAGTTTCTAGTGGTCATGACATAGCTGCTCCTGTCTGTTTTCACTCTGTTTTATATTCATTTCCTATTGGATTAGATAATGACTAATTGACTTTTAAACTAAGGTTATGAAATGTGTAGATATTGTTACTTCTTGTGTTGTTTTACATAGAATTAGAGGAGGATTCCAGAGTTTGTTTTCTTTATCTTGCTTCTCCCTTCAACGCTCAAGTGGGTATGTTTCGAGTTCATTGATCTCTGTATTCGTTTAGTTCAATAGTAACTGAAACAATTTCACTGATTCTTTGATATTCTCTCTAGTATTCTCTGGTTAGTGATAACAGTCAGAATAGAGTTTTAAGGTTCGCAGTTTCAGTTCTTCCCAATTCCATATAGAATCTTAATTTCTTTATCAATTCAGCAATCCAAACACACAATGACTTAAAAAAAAATTACATAGTTTATATATGTAAGCTAAGAACTTATAACTATAGTTACATATTTTACCTTTTACATATTGAAGGAATTGAATCATTAGACCAGTTTTAGACAGAATCCAACAAAAGCAGCCTGAAACCGCTGGAGAGAAAGAGGAAAAACTTACCAGAGATGTACGGAGAGTCGATTTGTGACAGTTTCTTATTTCTTCTTCTTCTTCGTTCTTCTTAAAAATTGATACAAAAGTGCCAAACGAATTTAGAAATCTCAATCTCGATCATCGTCTTCTCCGTCTTGCAAAAACGTTTCTTAAAATTCAAGGGTTTTTACACGTTTTAATTCAAGGGTTTTTACACGTTTTTGTCTCAGAAGTGGCTATTAATTTGGTTGGGCCTAGGCCAATGTTTATTTTGATATTTGCTCTGTTGATAGAGAAAGAGTGACGTGAAAAAATAGAATGATATTACTGGAAGACAAAACTGAGCTGTATTATTTAAAATGTTTTGATTGGGTATCGATTTTACTGATGTGTCAAGTTGAGAACAACTGAAAAAGTTGAGGTGTCAGACCTGGAAAGACTCTTATTGTTTTTATTGTATTGATTAATTTCTAAGAACCATACGTTGTATCTTTTTGTATGGATTTTTATTGTACTATTAATAAAATAATTTGATGACAAAAAAAAATCTTGACTATATATTCTCTTATATTGAAATTATCTCTTGAATTTATTTAAACCATCATATAGATACTATATGACAATGGTAAATGACATAAATGACTCATATACGAGTTAGTTGCATCTATAATATGTTTATATGTAATCACATACAATTTTGATTTCGACCAGGACCGCCGTAATAAAAGAAATTCCCCCAAGTATCATGATAAGCAGATTGGATATTGTAACAACTCTCTTGCGTCATGATAGTATGACCTCCCTCATTTCTTCTCCAAATATTATGTTCATCAACTATCTCGAGATTCTTGAAATAAGCAGCTTTTGTTAAACCTTCCTGTGCAAAATATCCACCTCCCATTCTCGTTGTTGTGTGTCTTCCATCATCCTTAAAATCTAATATTTCGCCTCCCCATTCAATTATAGATGCACTATCTCGTAGATGGGTGAACAATGAGGAAGGCCAATACCCAACAAATATAGTATAATAAAGTTTCAACCACCAATCTCCTGTTTGCTCATCCTATAATAATATAACACATTATTTCTTAGTTATAAATTACCATAATATTTCTTGAAATAATATGGTGAAAATAAGTTAGATTGACCTTCCATATAGATACAGGAATCTGATATTGTTGACCACCTAAAGTCGAAACGTTAGCAATTGCTCCACCTAAAGCAATTTCTCGGCTGACAAGAACAAATCCATGGCAATCAAAATTGTAACAGCCTGTCCGGTAACCATCAGCCTGTTTAGATTTTACCAAATCAGCCCCAAAAACAATCATTTCTTATTACATATGTTAACCAAAAAAAAAAAAATCAAAAATCAAAACAGTATTATATGCAATAACTCACAGTCCAAAAGATAAAGTATCTAGGGTTATTATCATGATATTTGCCTTCGTACACCTAATTAGTAACAATAAAAACAGAAGAATGTAAGAAAATAAGAATATAATTATATATATATTAAGATGTATCTACAAGAAGAAAGTAATACCTGCCAACCAAATTCAATGGCATTAAGTTCGTCACCAGGAGGGCCTGCCACAAGCCATATTTGTGCTAGGCTAAATTCATCTTCCGTTCGTACATAAGGCTTCCACACGTTTATTATTGAGCTGGCTCCATGAAATTTTCCATGTACTTCAAGTATTGCGTACTATATATAAGAAATTATGAAAACACATATATAAACTGTATGAATAAGGAAATTGATCACTTTTGAAATTCTTATTGAATGATATATAGAAATGCACCTCATGTATGCCGTCGTTACTAGTCGAGTTCACTGGACTAGGTTGAGTAAACCTGTTGGAAGTTTTTTTTCCAAAGCTTTCGATCGATTTTGCTCGTAAAATATCTTCTCTTGTTGTTCTTCTTATCGGAATACTATTTTTGGGGCATTTTCCGTTGGTTGTCCATAGTTGAGTCACTAAATTTTCCTTTTTTTGGTCTGAAGGTTCATTATTCATTCCTTCCGGATAAGAACTTGGTCTCATCTACAACATGGCAGTGTTACAATAAAAGTATAGAACATATGAAATATTAACCCAAACATAGTTATTTGAACCATATGTGAAGATTTGTTTCAATGTTACTGATCCGAATTTGAGATGAGTGCTACTTTGGAAAAGATTGTCTACCATTTTTAGATCTATCACAAGTATTATTAAATTAAGGTTTGATTTTAGTTTTAGATGAAAAAATCTAGAATTTTATGTTTAAGAAGAGTAATAATAACATAAAAATATATAATTAAAAAAAAGCTTTCCAAACCTGGATTGTGTGATTTTTAAATAAAGGATGATCATAAATGGGATGATTCTTCATATGAACACAATCTATAATATCTCCATCTGGACTCTACACAAGGATTGCAAAACGTACACAACTAAAGGTTAAAAGCTTCCAAAGTTGAAGAAACAAAAGAGAGTAGATATGTCTTGTTACTCTCATTAGCCCACGAATTTGATCAACCTTAATAGATTTAAGAGCAGGTTTATTGAGTTTCTTCAAAAGTCTAGTTATTTTAGCATCGTGACTATCAGAAAACTCGCTTTCGGTGACTTTCGCTGCTATGGTTAGAATGATGAGCACAAAACTCACTTTCGTTTGATTGATCATGTCTAAATACACAAAATTTTGATATGTTTAAGAAGTGCTTCTTATTCTTTAGGTTCATAGATTATTAAGTTATATAAGTTATATATATAAACTCAAGAAAGGTCATGCCAAAAAAAAAGTTTATAAATTTATGCAATAAAAGTCTAATACATTAATTTAAAGTGTATTTTCATCAAATCTTATCATTTATCTAATTAATGGACTATAATTTAAAGCAAAATCTTTTAAATTAAAGCAAAATCAAATCCAAGTAAAATGTGTGTTTATTCCTTAAATATATTATTAGACGAAGGTATAATCTTGTCATTTACATAATTATTGGGGAAATTTTATATCATCCTGAGCAAATACTTTTTTGTTTTTTTTGAATAAGAGCTGTTTAAGAACAAGATATACTCCAAATGATGGTCTTCTTTTCAAAGGAATCCAGTTAATGCAGCCTATTTAGTTTGAATTAAAATTTGTTTTCCTTTTTGTTCCTTGTGGAGAAAAGTTAACACAATTCGTACTTTCATTTTCTTAATTTTATTTTGGTCAAATTCATTTTCTTTTATTTTGGTTTTAAATTTAAAAAAGTAAGTGTTTTACTTTTCTTACTTTAGTGTTGAAATCGTAAAAGACATATAAAGCCATAAAGTCATCAACCGACATTTAGTTTGTCTGTACAACTTACTTTGCTTTTCATGCTTCCTCGTCGGTTATTAGAACAGAAATCGGAAATGAAATTATATAAAAAAAATATAGAACCACCGAAAAGCTCTAAATGGAATGCTTAAAATTAATTAATTAATTAGTCTGATTGAAACACGAATTACGGTTACAAGAAAAAGTAAATATTATAAACATAGAAGAGAATGAACAAACCTACAAATGAAAACTACTTACTGATGGACATCTCGTTTGAAAAATTTGGTTTCGATGATTCGATTTTTTCGGTGTTTGAGTTTATCGGTTTCTATGAAAACTCAATCAAATAAAAAACCGTATATGTCATTCGATTTTATTTCGGTTCAGTTCTTTTTGATTTTTGTTTTATAAACAGAAACAATCAAACAATATAACACTTTCACATATCTTTTGTAGGACTGTACAGTAATTTTTGTTTAGGATAGCCCCTCGTAATCTTCTACTGATTGCTTTTTTTTCCTCTATACACTAGGTCACAGAAAAAGCAGCCCATGTTACTTACCAATGATTAGTGTTTTTCTTCCATATTTCAAAGTATCATGCAGGATACCGGTTCGGTAGGAAATGTGTAAACGACTTGATCCTGTTTATTACTGACTTCTTATTTAAACATTTGCTAAATCATAAACTTGCTTTAAAATACATCAAGATTCTTATCGAGTAATTTGTGTTCCCCCATCTTAAAATTTTAGAATCATTGTTTTAACTCTTAAGTATCATGAAATGATTTAAGACTGTTCAAGAGAACTCCACATATTTGAAATTCACAATCATAGTTCCAACACTTAACTAAAGGGAAAAAACCCAAAAAAATCTTGGTTTATTTTTTATTTGGACGTTTTATACCCAAATTTTTTTGGTTGGAAGAAAAAACATATAATAATTAAAATATACGATTTAATACCTATAAAAATAAAATCATTTAAGACTGTTCAAGAGAACTCCACATCTTTGAAGTCGTAGGTTATTCACAATCGTAGCTCCAACACTTAACTAAAGCCAAGTTCAATTGTCTTAAATCGAAAACTTTTCGGTTTGCCTACCGGTCCGATTTTTAAAACATTGCAACAAACACTTATGTTTGTAGTTGAAAAGTTAATAATCTGATTTTTGTTATTCATCTCTTTTCAGCTCAACTGAAATTTTAGTAGTTAATTTTTTTTTATATTTAGTAACTGAAATATTCTTTTGCCCCCTTTTTTTAAGTAAACATTTTATATTACTTTTCTTTTCTGTCGTTGCTTTTGTTTGTGACTTTTCTTATTGGATTTTACAAAAAAAAAAAAAACTATAATCCTTTGTATTCCATTAAAAAGAAAAAATCAAACCTTTACATGTATAACGACTTGTGCAAACAAAAAGCCTCTGATTAGTGAATTACATGGCATCGAATCAATCAATGCTTTAAAAAATAATGTTCTTTTTTTTTTTTTCCTTTTGCTATGAAATGAAACTCAAACTTAGATACACAATCGTTATATATAGTTTATGCAAAGGCAAAAATAAAAATAAAAGAAAATCAACATCAATGGTCTATGGTCATGACTCATTAGTGTCCACGTCCTTTCCTGCTCGGTCCAGACGCTAACCGGAAAGCCAAGCTCCTCATCAAAAGATGGTCTCTCGAACCGTTCGCCGCCCCCGAGAAAAAGCCAAAACCACCATTCTCTACGGTGGCGGTAGTTTGATCACAGCCGGTCGTTTGCTCTGTTCGCAGGGCTCTGCAATCAACACCCCCAATAATCGAAAACGTCTCCACCAAGAAGATGATGCACAACAAGATCATAATCTTCTTCTCCATCGATCTTTAACTTAACTTCGGTTTTGTTACTTCTCTTAAGAGTTCTCTCTCAAAATGTTGGCTTTGTCAAAAAGAGTTGTTGAGTTATGAGATGGAAAGGCTTGTGTGTGTATATATAGTTGTGTGTGGGTGCGTGTGTAAGCAAAAGGCATTTATTGACCAAGAATGTTGGACTAATTGATTTGGACTTCGCGTTTTCTTTATACAAATAGTAATATTTTATGGCCTTTGAATATTTCAGGTGGCATCTTTTTTTAAATGTGTATTCAGAATCAGAACCATTTCAAACTATTTGTAGATTTTCTGCAAATGTTTTTATTAATAGTTAAAAAACATGTTTATTAAATTTATAGACTCCTGTTTACATATGTTTATTTAATTTTTCCTTGAGTTTTGATTTTTAAATCATACCATGCTTAAATGTTAAAAGAAGACTATTATGTGTGTATTCAACATATTAGCGACGAAGTTTTGATCAGTTTTTTCCAACCTACTTGTTTTGGCTGAGAGTTTATTGTTTAGACGCTGACTTTGAAAATAAAACTATATATTGTATAGTAGTTATAAAAGGTTAAAGGAATTGCACAAAAATTTCAAACAAATTGCGGTTAACTATATAAGTACCATTTTCTCAATGTGTAGTCAGTCATATTAGTGGCAAACATTAGATCAATTTTCTCCAACCTACTTGGCTTGATCGACAGGTATTGTTAGACTCTGACTTTGAAAAAGAAAAGTTAAATAATAGTAAATAAAATTAAAAGAATTGAACAAATTACAAAAGGTTAGACTAATTGATTTGGATTTGGATTATGATTTAGTATATTTTATGGCCCTCCTTTTGAATATTTCAAGTCTTATCTTTTTTCCATCTTAAACTATTTGTAGGTTTTGTTGTAAATATTTTATTAATGGTAGATTTGATGTGCTACGTACAAAATATGTTTCTACTTAATAAATTATACCTTGTTTAAATGCTCAATTAAAATTACACATCTAAAAAACGGCCATGTGTGTATATTAGAGCTAAGTTTTGATTAGTTTTTTTTTTTTTCCGACCTAATTGCTTTGGCCGAGAGGTTATTATTGTTAGACTCTGACTTTGAAAACAAATTAGAAAATAGTAAAAGAAAATTGGGAAAAAGAAATAATTGCAGAAAATTACAAAAGGTTGTAAAAAGTGGAATTTTATATATTTGTAGTTGTGTCCAATGTGAAGAGACAAAATGGGTTGTTGTTGAACGAATGAGCTAACAAAATAAGCGTTTTTGAAGAAACAATTAAAAAAAGTCATAAGAGTGTGTTTGTGTGTTGTGTTTTGAGTTGTCAACTTTTGACTTTTGACTTTTGTCCGACGTCGGTTTTTCGTTATTACGGTGAAAGAAGTCGTGTTCGTCGGGAGGGGTAAACAGGTAATTTACAAGCGAATCCGCAGTTTTTGGATGTCTGTTGAGTGATGACGTGGCACCGTCTAATTCAGTGTTCACTCGTTAACGTGTTTCCTTTACTTTTTGTCTTTTCCTTCCGTCCGTCTTATTTTATTTTCCTAACTAGTCCCTAGGAGTAAAAAGTAAAAAGTAAAAAGTAAAAACTATTCTAATGTTTACCCTTGCTTTATACTCTCTCCATTTCTATATAGAAAAATGCTTTTACATATTTTTTTTCTTGTTTCGTAAAGATAGATTTTTTTTGTTACTTTTAAAATACATTTTTATTAATTAATTATAATAATTTATAAATTTTAGAAAATATTGATTGAAAGTAATTATTATTGGTTTAAAGTTACATAAGTTTTTTTTATTAAAAATATGATGTCTTACTTTTTACTTTTTAAACTAGATTCTGACCCGCACGTACGTGTGGGGTTTCATATTTTAAGAATATGTATTGGAATAATTTCTTATTTAACCTAAAAATACTAACATTTTACTAACATTTCTTATATAATTTCTTATTTAACCTAAAAATACTAACATTTCTTATATAATTTCTTATTTAACCTAAAAATACTAACATTTTACTTTCTCATAATTTTTGAAATAATTGTATATTTTAGAAGTCAAAGTTTGTATAAATTGATATTTGCAACCTCCTGAAATCGTAGGGATTTACTTGTAGTGTACCACGAGTTAATTTTTATTTTATTTTTTTATAAACTGATGAATTTGTTGATTTTAGATAATATATTAAAGGAAAAAACAAATAAAATCATGTATCTCTAAATATATTACGATTTGACAAAAACAGAATATTGGATAGAATGTATGTCGCATATTTTTTTTTGGCTATGTACTTAATTTGTTATATTTGGTAAATGAGAAAATATCCAAATATATTTATAACATAAATCCAGTTGGTTGTTTCCAGTGCAGGAACCCCTGTTCATGCATGGCGGGGCCCGGGATCCCTTGCTGCTGCGGTGCACGGCTGAAGTGGCTATACATACAAATCTATTTACGGATCTATATGCTTTGATTGGAACTGGAAGTTCCAGAACAGGAGGTTGGTATATTATTACAGATTTTATTGTTAAAATATTTTGTATTTTTCAATTAATGGCATTCGATTTATGTTGAATTTTTTTTGTTTTATCTCTAACAAATTGAAAAATACAAAATATTTTGATTTATATTCGAAATAAATATATTTATGCTGAATATTCAGTTATCATTTAATATTTAATATTGTTTCCTTTTTTGCTTTTGTAGACAAAAAATACCAAAAATATTGACGAAGCAAATCTCAGAATATATTGCATTATTTAATCTCGTTATTTGTTTTTGCAAAAAATTAATGAAGAATCGAATCAAAGATATTTATTTAGTTGTAGTAGTTGTTAATTTACTAAATTACTCATGCAAAAATTCATTTAGTTAGTCTTACACTACCCTCATAAAATGTTGTAGTTCACAAAATGCTTCCCAATTAATAGTATAGATATGTATGAAAACTCTAAAACATTCATCATTAAGAATAATAATATTTAAAATATTATGTAAAAAAACTAACGCATCGTTTTCTCTTGTAATCTAACACGACCTTTTATTTTTTAAGAAATTTTGATTACACCCTTTAGAAAAAAATCAATATCAAATATAATGCCATTTGAATTTAAATTTTACATATATTTATTGGAGAAGATAAAAGAGAAAATATTAAAAATTATTATATGTCTCGAACAAGATTAAAAAAAAGAGGAAGTAATGATGTTGTAACTTTTTATTTTTTGGTCAAACTGTTTGTTTTAATCAATGTTTTTAAATCCGATCCGGACGGTGAACCGAACTATCTTCTGGGTCATCGAGTCATTGGATCAACCGAATTCGACCACGGGTCAATTGATTCAAATTTATTTAATGTATAAAATATTTACAGAGATTATATAGTTTTATAAAGGGAAATTGTTAAAAATACCCCTTTTGGTGTGCCCCTTTTCAAAAATGCCCCTTTTAGATGTCCCTTTTAGATGTCCATTGGCAGGAATGCCCCTTTTTAAATCTGAAATTTTTATAAAGTTTTATTAGGTTTATAAGGTACTTATGGATTGTAACTACTACTTGAAGACTCGATCCAAGTATTTATAAGGTTTTATAAGGTGTTTTAAAGTTATTTTAAAGGATATTTAAGGTTTTTCAAAGGTTTTACAAGATATTTTAAAGGTTTTTAAAGGTATTTAAAATGCATTTATAAGGTATTTATAAAGTATTTATAAGATTTTAGATACATAGAAATGTAGTTTGTGTATGTTTTAATAATATTACATACATATTTGGGTAAATCTTATATTTTTAAGAGCATTTTTTATAAGGTTTTAAAAAGGGGTATTTTTGAAAATTGACATTGAAAAAGTGGCATTTTTGCAAAAACCCCTTTTATAAATATAAAAAATAAAAATAATCATACCATATTTAACAAAATATAAAGTCTAACAATAATAACGAAGTGAATAAAATTTTTAAATCCAACAAAAATCGTTTGAGAAGAACCGAGTAATTGAAAAAGTTCTTAAAATAATTGAATAGTGGATACACTAAAAGCCTAAAACCTTATATTTTATTCTAAACAACCAAAATCAAATGAATTTTGTTAAAACTCAGGCCCGACCGGTTCAACTAGTTACTGGGTCGCGGGTTAATGGCGGGTTTTTATGGATTTTTTCAGTTTTGAAATTTATGGATATAAGTATTAAATTTAAACCGTAGAAGTGTCCGGATCACAGGTTAATCGGTCAGGCGGTTCGGATCGGACGTGAAAACACTAGTTTTAATTTTAAAGGGACATTTAAAAGGTATTTTTGTCTTTAAAGTTGTCATGCTGGCGCATCAAAATGCTCGGACTATATTTACGAACAGGCCATAACAATATTGGTTATGTTAGAAAAACCTCATGCAAACAATATAGCCTACACAAGATACACATATCAATCAAAATAAACTGGCCCAATAACATTTCCAAACCCAAAATGATCATCGAATATGTAAGACAAATAAATTACTCTCTAGTAGATCTATTAAAATGGGCTATATAACAAGCGGGCTAGATCCAACCTTATAAAAAAAATCTATACGTACGTCATAAGAACAAATAAACAACAACTGAGAAAAGACGATATCTATATTATTAATTGGGAAGCATTCCCTGAAAAATAACCTTAAAAAGTGTAAAAAATTACAAGGGAATGCCATACAATTTCAGTATTAAACGACAAAAAAAACATTTCAAAAAGGGTAAAATCGTAAAATTGCCTCTGTTGGGACGCGGATCTCGGATCCTATACTCGGGTCCTTTTTTTCTAAAACAACGCTGACCCGATTATTACTGTGAAAATACCAATTGGGCTTACAATATAATTAGGCCCATCATGAATCTTCACCTTATAAGATAATCTTCACCTATTGGGCTTACAAGATAATTAGGGCGTTTAGTTGTTGATAAATGTTGAAATCGAATTATTTCACTTTATCCGTTATTCTCCGTATCTGTTAAAGAAAATAATTGCCAAAAAGATTAGTTCATATTTAAAGATATTTCTATAATCTACTCCCTCTGTTTTTGAAAAGTTGTCGTTTTAACTGTATTTGAACAAATTAAGAAAAGGTATACAATGACTATATTAACCTCATAAAAATGACAAGTAATTATTTACAAATAATTTGTGTTCAATAAAATGAGGGTAATTTGGGTAGTTATTGGCATAAATTACATTATTACCTTAAAACGACAACTAATTTAAAACAAAAAAAAGCTCTAAAACGACAACTATTCGAAAACGGAGGGAGTATATAACTAATCAATCTAAATTACTTAACACTATCGTAATAATCGCAGATCCTTACCAAAAAAAAAAATCGCAGATTAGGCAACCAACACAAA